CACCAAAAAAATTAACATATTTTAAGACTTTAGAGTAATAAAATTTATGAGTCTATTTTTTATGCTGTTTTTGAGTTATGGATGGAGTCATAAAAATTTATGAGTCTATATATAAACTCCCTTTTAATTTCTATGCTATCTGTTTTATTATAACCAAAATTTAAGACTTGAAACTACTAAACTAATACAGTTGTCTGAGAAATCCATGTCATGACTGCTGTTATCACATAATAGAAGAGATCAATCAATTACGGTGCCTGGGAATCTGACCCAAAATAGAAAGTGGGTTTTTGTCATAGACCTTGTGAAAACAATCAGTCAAAACATGGGAAACAAATTTTCAGCACGGAACAGGAGGAAAATCAAATTCTGCCACAACTTCATCCATTCAGCAATCACTACTTCATTCTTACTAATCAAACTAGCCCTGTTATAGGAATGACGGGTGCTTTAATAGGGTTTTACGGAGGCAAACTCATCAAGAAATTAATGACATCTTCTGCTTTTGATGTTTTAGATCAGTTTTTAAAAGCGAAGTAACATATTGCTTTTAAGAGAATTTTTAAACTTCTCCCTAATGCTCTCTAAATTTGTTATCTTTATAAGATAGCAAATGAAAATTTCCAAATACAGAGACATATCAGTAAGGTCTTTACCTAAACTTCATTTTCTACTCAAAATGATACATATTTACATACTAATCCATCACTGCATTTCTATCTCAGCTTTTCTTATCTCAGGGCCTTTCTCTCAAAGATCCAAGTAGCAATTGAGTGAGGATCCACCCCCCGTCCCCCGGCCTTCACCCTCCAGCCCATCCAGGGGGGGTTCTGGTATTATATTTAATTGAGTTGACTTTACTGACTGAATCAATCTGTGTTTAGGTAGCAGGCATTAGCTCTTTTCTTGGTGGTTTGGGAGAGGTGAAGATTCTGGAGTAGGGACTGGAGTACTGAGGGGAGAAGTTAGCAGCCGCAGTTACATATCAACTGGTATAGAAGATGTTTAATGGTTTGCCTTCCTGTAAGAGCAGCCCAGGGTCACCCTACCCCACACTCTTGCTAAGAGGTGGTAATCTTACTAAGGGGGTATTCAGTCAAGTGCCTAGCCCTGTGGAATTAACTCTGTTTCTGTCCCTGTGAGGTGACCTGCCCTTCTCTTTACTACCTAACACAGTTGGCAGTGATGGCAACTAACTCAAACTTTTCTCTTTGGGGGCAGGCTTCCTTTCTTCTCTGGCAGAAACAAGACAAAATTACAAAATAGTAAACATTGCTAAACTTATCTTGATGTGTAGCCAAGTTTAAAGACTGAAAAAAAAGTTATGAATTAGTTCACTTTCCTTACGTGTACTTACATTGTCTTGTAAGATGGGAATGACACAAGATTTCTATACTCTCCTAGTCCAAGTTTATGAAAGCCTTTTGTTGAAAAATAGAGAAGGGGGCCTCCCCGGTGGCGCAGCAGTTGAGCGCTGGGTTGCGAAGCTGCCCGCGACCTCTGCGGCGCCAGTTCGATCCCCGGCTGCTCCCCGGCCACCGGTGGAGCGTCCCACATGGTGCGCAGACCTCTCCTGCCGCCCGCTGCTCCCCTCAGCAGTGTACTTTGGTCCTTCTGCCTGCTCTGCTCCCCGCTCTGGCTCTGGTGAATTCTCTCACCCTCCCGTGCCTCTGACTGTACCCAGTGCATGTATAAACAAAAAACAAACAAATAAATAAATAAATAAATAACATGCCTCTATAAAAAAAAATAATAAAATTAAAAAAATAAAAATAGAGAGGGTATCTATTATTTTTTTCAGTCAACAAGTATTTATTGAGAATTTTAATCAGTCAAATACTGTTCTTGGAGATATAGAGGTGAGAAAAATAGGAGGAAAAAAATCCTGCTCCTATAGTAAAAACAAAAACAAAAGAATTCCTGCCCTTACAGTGGGAAGATGATAAACAAAATAAATAAGCCGATTATATAGTTTGTCAGAGAGCTAGTAACTGCTGCTCATAAAGGTGAAGCTGGGAAGAGCAATAAGAAGTATTGGGGATCACAGAGGGGTCTGATGAAAAGGGGACATTTAAGAAATGACCTGAAGAAAATGAGGGAATGGAACATTAATTTATGGGAAGGACATTCAGGCACAGGGAATAGCAAGTGGGACCACTGTGAGGTAGGAGCATTCCTGGCACATTTGAAGAGCAGCAGGAAGGCCAGTGTGACTGGAGTAGGGTAAGCCTCACACTAAAAGGAGGCAGTGAGAGAGATCTAGGGACCAGGTCACCCATCAACAGCTTTTGAATTTGTTACGAGACCTTTGGCTTTTGTGTTCCATTTGGGAAACCCTTAGTGGGTTTTGAACAAAGGAGCCTATTCTGACTTCGATTTTAAGGGGATCCTTTTGCTGCACTATTGAAAAGGGACAGTAAAAAGAAAATGTGGAATCAGAGAGTACAATTATAAGGTTCTTGATGATTTGCACTATCTGGTATCTGTATGAGCCAACAGAATGGATAGGTTGTGTGAGAGAAGAGAGGAGACTCGTGTGACTCTGGTCTGAATAAATGGAAGAATGACTTGCTCTTTATTGAAACAAGGAAGATTGTGAAGACAGGATTATTTTGATGGGGGACAGGAAACAAGAGATAATCAGGTTCTTAGTTTTAGACACACAAAGTTTGAAATGGGTTTAGACATCAGTGAACATCAGAGAGGTCCAGGATAGAGACAAAAGTTTTGAATCTATTAGTGTTTAAATAATACATGAAACTAAAAGATTAGAGGAGATTAAGGAGAGAGTAGGCATAAATACTAAAGAGAATATATTCAAGGAGTGAGATGAAAAGGAATCAACAATGAAACAAAGAGTTTGAAGTTTGGTAGAGTAAGGAATGTTGTATCAAAGAAATAAGGAAATGAGGTTTTTAAAAGGGTGATGAGCTGTTTAATGATATTGACAGGTCAGATGAACCAATAAGAAGAAGAAACCACTGTTTTAGTCATTGATGACTTTGATAGAAATAGTTTTTATGGTTCAAATGATTTATTTATTTATGCATACAAGAGTTGGGGTATAGGCCAGAGGTATAGGGGGTGAGAGGTTTCACCAGAGACAGAGTGGTGAACAGAACAGGCAGATTGACTGAAGTACACTGCTGAGGGGAGCAGTGGGAGAGACAGGAGAGGTCTGCTCCGCCATGTGGGTTGCTCCCTGTCTGGCCAGGGGATTGAACTCGTGCTGCAGAGTCTGCGGACAGCTTCATAGGTTGTGTCTTAACCCCTTGCACCACCAGGGAGGCCCCAATGGTTCAAATGTTTGGAAAAAGCTGACTGAAAGAGTTCAAGGGGGAGACAAGAAGTTGTAGACAAAAATTATAAAATAAATCTTCTAAGCATATTTGTTATAAAGGGAAAGAGAGATATGACCTGATAATGGGCTGGGAAGCAATAAGCTGCCAGTCTACTGAGGAAGGATGATCTTAGCAGTGACTGGCAGTCACATGCTGTAAGTGTGAGCATTAGCAATGTATAGAGTTGAAGACCTCAAATGACGTTGCCTTGGATAAACACAGATTTTTGAAATGTTTGTCATTGATACATTAGTGCTAAAAAGAGAAAGATTAATCAAGTCAACTGTATTGATGAACAAGTGTTTCATCACCCATTTCATAAGCTCTATGGCTTATTGAACCTCAGTCCCTTTAAAAAGCTTCAGCATTTCTTCTTGGAATCTCAAAGAAGACTTTTTTGTGCTCACATTTTCTTCTGTCCTTTTATTGATGCCCTCTGTTTATAACCAACTAAGGGTGGTATCTCTCCACTAACCCTGCTGCCAATGACTTTTGTGAGAATGTGGTTACTATGAGTCATTCAATTTCCCATGGATTTCAAAGATGCCAACAGAGTCATCTCTTCTTCCTCATGGAGCCAAAGTCAAACTGCAGCCTATGGTGAAATAGGAAAAATGTTCCAATTCTTGGTTCTGTGGCCAGGGTTTTTATTGACTGGGCATAAAAGAACACAGCCTGTGGTACAGGAACTGCAGAGCCTCTCATGCAAATGTGCCTTTTGCTTTCTGACTTTTAAAACCCTTCTTTCTATAATATAGGGGATCCTGTGTAGTAAATACCTCCGAGGTCTGAACCTCGGAGTGTGGTAGTATAGATGTCCCCTCCCTTCCTTCTAACTCTTCCTCACACTATGTATATCAAGTCATCCAAATACATCTCTAAGATATTGCTATCTGATAGAACTTTCTGTGATGAAGGAGATATGGTATATTTGTGCTGTCCAGTCTGGTGGTGGCCATGCCTGCCTTTGAAGACTTGAAAAGTGGCTGGTGTGACAAAGAATTAAATTTTAAAATGTATTTAAATTTTAGTTAATTTACATTTAAATAACCACATGTGCGAAGATTTACACCTGTAATCATTTTATTATTGCAGTTACTTTTAACCATGTTGCCTATGGGTTCATATATTTTGTTCACATGTCCATCTCCCATTCTATTTTCTTTAAAAGATTTATTTATTTTTGCATACAAGAGCTGGGGTGTAGGCCAGAGGTACAGGAGGGTGAGAGGATTCACCAGAGAGAGAATGGGGAACAGAACAGGTGGATCTCCTGAAATAAATTGCTGAGGGGAGCAGCAGGTGAGGCAGGAGAGGTCTGCTGTGCCATGTGGGTCACCTCCCTGGCTGGAGATAAAAATCGTGCTGCAGTGGCTATGGATTGCTTCACAGTGCTGAAGCTTAACCCCTTGCACCAGCAGGGAGGCTCAGGTCTCCCATTCTAAACTAAGTTTCTTGAGAAGGATCATATGTTATTTTTCTTTGCATTTTTATATCCCACAGCCTAGCTCCCACAGAAACTACCATAAATGTTTCTGAATGGATGAATGACATTCTATATTGGCATAATAATGTGTTCGCTGTGAAGGTCAGTATCTTCCTAAAGTTTGCTATTAATTTCTAAATAAAGACAGTGTGTGGTCATTTTGTTTTCCATAGAGTCTCTGTGGAGCAGTCAGAGTGAGGACAGGATCATTGCAGCTCAGCAGCACTCCTGTTGGCAATTCGTCTTTGAAAAGAACAAAGCGAAAAGCACCTTCTCCACCCTCTAAAATGCCTCTGCATCCAGATGAGGAATCTAGTCATGTGATTGGTAATGTTACTTTTGCCATTAACATCACATCTGTATTTAATATAGATGGTAGGAATGATATAGGTTATAAATTATTTTTTATTAAGTGTTTATTGTACTTAAATGTGGGCTTTTAATTAATTTTAGTAATAGCACTTAGTCCTGGATTCATCTCAACTGCCTTTCTTATACCTGAACGTGAAAATTTAAAAAATTATGAGCTCCATTATCCTAAAATGAACCTGTTGTAATTTGTGCATCTATTCAAAAAGATATGGCCGTTCCAGTATTGACTACATATAGAAGTGGCAATCTTTGTAAATTTTAGTTGTATTGGTACAGTATCAGACATTAAAATTGCTTTCTAACAAGGTTAGGACTATGTCTTTATGAATTTAAAAATGTTGAACTACTAATGAATTTTCATTTATGAATGTGACTTATTAATAACTTCCTTAAGTTGTAATGGTACCTTAAGTACTTTGGCTCCTACGTCTCCTGTTTTTCCTACAGACAGTGTTTCAGAAGCAAACTCTCCTGAGGAGCTACCTTGCCCAGGTATGACACCTTTACTACACATCATCAAATTATAGAAAAAGAATTTTCATGACTGTGGATGGATGAATGTAATTGTATAGGAAAGAGATATATAGATGATTTGAGTCTTATTTCCCAGATTTTATAAGATGAAATGAAAAATATTACTCCCTCTGTTTAAGGTATAAACTGAAAAGAAAATTTCAGATTGTAATAACATGATACACTTGAATCCAATAGTATTCAATTCTGTGGTAGCACCTTGAGCGCCTTCACTGCTAGGTCTCCTATTTTTCCTATGGAATGTCAGGTTGCCATTCATAATCTCCTTCCCAGGAGAGATGATACATCTTATTTTGGAAAAAAACCTTAGTGTATGCAGAAGACACAGTAATTCAATCTAATACTGTGCCCTAATATTTTTAATAATAGGTATTTATAACCTTTAGGAATATGATAAAATTTCTTTAGACTTAGTTAAATATAAGTGAATATGATGATGGATAATGTTGAATCAAAAAATAGGATAATTTAATAGATATGAAAATTAGAGAAGATAACTCTACCTAATTTTATTCTTCATAGTCACAAGTAGAGGAAAAACTCAAAAGCATCAAAATGCTTCTGAATCTTTAATTCTTAAATGATATTTAAGCATTAGGATTTGACACATCTAATTATTTCCTCCGTGAATAAAAATATTTCCATTCAATAAATAGTAATGATTTTTCTTAATTCCTACCCAGAATAACATCAATGACATATTTTTGGTTCACAAAGGAAATTTATTAAAAAAGGCAAAAGTATATAAGTGAAATAAGATTCTGAAAGTATTAGAAAAACAGTGTGACTGCTATTCAAACTTCGCTTGACATCTAATTTTCTTCTTTTTTCCCTCCCTCTTACCTCTTCTTGCTTAATGCATGAATAATTGTGAGCAAACATATCTGAATTCTTCTGAAATATTCTTGGTCCCTGCTTGCTTTAATGTTATTGTCTAAGGGTCATTTCCACAGATTTTACTTTAGCAGGAGACTCCCTGGGCCCCAGGCTCCCCAGTCATGAACAGTGCACTGTGCCCACACGGCCGGATGACACCTCTCTGTCTGATGGTCCTGGAACGCCCGAGGCGGCCGTGGCATCTCTGACATGTAGGTGACTGTGCCTTTCCTGCCTGCTGTCTTTGTCTAATGCATATTAACATATCATCATGTATACATTTGGTTACTTGTTGATCAGTGTAATGATATCATAAAGAAATAGTAGTTTTCTGCTTTACATTTGACATTTTATAGATTTGGAGTTTAATGTCTTTCCTAACCAAACAGAAGACTATTTAACAAGGGGTAAGATGAATAAAGTCAGTGACACTGAAGGATATCAACTTCTATTTGGCTTTCTGCTTTTCTTTTTTTTTTTTTTTTTTTTAAATATTAAATTTTATTTTTTATATTCCCCCATACAATTGCAAACGCCCCATTCTGACCCCAATCCCTCCCCTCCCGCCCCCACCCCCCAAAAAGTGTCTCTGGTTCATAGTTTTTTGTTGATTTTGATTTTTCACTTTCTTATATTCATTTCCTGGTCCCTTATTTAAGTTTTCTAGATTCCTGCTATGAGTGAGACATCCGGTATTTTTCTTTTTCTTTTGGCTTATTTCGCTGAGCATGATCCCTTCCAGTGCCATCCATGTTGCTGCAAATTGCATTGTTTTATCTTTTGAATGCTGAGTAATATTCCATGGTATATATGTACCACATCTTCTTGATCCAGTCATCTATTTTTGGGCATTTGGGTTGTTTCCAAAGCTTAGCTATTGTAAAACAGTGCTGCTATAAACATAGGAGTGCAGGTGCTCTTTGGAATTGATGTTTCTGTGTCCTTTGGGTAAATCCCTAGGAGTGGAATTGCTGGATCATATGGAAGCTCTATGTTTAGTAGGTCCAGAAATCTCCACACAGCTCTCCATAGTGGTTGGACCAGTTTGCACTCCCACCAACAGTGCACAAGAGTTCCTTTTCTCCACATCCTCGTCAACATTTGTTGTTGCTAGTTTTTTTAATATGTGCCATTCTCACTGGTGTGAGATGGTATCTCATGGTAGTTTTGATTTGCATTTCCCTGATTATAAGTGATGTTGAACATTTTTTCATATTCTGTTGGCCATTTGCATTTCCTCTTCAGAGAAGTTTCTTTTTAGCTCTTCTGCCCATTTTTTGACTGGATTATTTTCTTTGTTGTTGCTGAGTCTCATCAGCTCTTTGCAGATTTTTGTGATCAGTCCTTTATCATTAGTGTTGGGTGCAAAAATGTTCTCCCAGTTGGTGGGGTTTCTCTTTGTTTTTGTTATTGTCTCTTTTGCTGTGCAGAAGCTCTTTAATTTGATGTAGTCCCAGCTGTTTATCTTTCTCTTCACTATCACTGCTTGGGTGATGTGTCTGTAAAGATGTCTTTGATGTGCAAATCCCGTAGTGTTTCGCCTATATTTCCTTCTATGTATTTATGGTTTCAGGTCTTATGTCTAGTTCTTTAATCCATTTTGAGTTGATTTTTGTGTATGGTGTGAGGTAGTGGTCAAGCTTCATTCTTTTGCATGTAGCGACCCAGTTTTCCCAGCACCATTTATTGAACAAACTTTCTTTGTTCCAATGCATAGTCTTTGCTCCTTTGTCAAAGATTAGTTGACCATAAATCTGTGGGTTTATTTCTGGATTTTCTATTCGATTCCATTGGTCTGTATGTCTGTTCTTGTTCCAATACCATGCAGTTTTGATGATTATGGCTTTGTAGTATAGTTTGAAGTCTGGGAGTGTGATGCCTCCATTTCCTTCTTTTTTTTTCAGTAGAGCTTTGGCTATTCGGGGTTTTTGGTGATTCCATATGAATTTCATCAATAATTGTTCTATTTCTTTGAAGAATGCCATTGAGATTTTGATTGGAATAGCATTGAATCTGTATATTGCTTTTGGTAGGATGGCCATTTTAATAATGTTTATTCTTCCAATCCATGAGCAGGGGATGTCTTTCCATTTCTTTGTGTCTTCTTCTATTTCTTTTAACAGTGTTTTATAGTTTTCTTTGTATAGGTCCTTTACCTCTTTTGTTAGATTGATTCCCAAATATTTGATTTTTTTTGTTTCGATAATAAAAGGGTGGTTTTTTTGATTTCTTCTTCTTCAGATTTATTGTTTGTGTATAGGAAGGCTACTGACTTTTGCGTGTTGATTTTGTATCCTGCCACTTTACTGAATTGATTGATGAGTTGAATTAGTTTTTCTGTGGAGATTTTGGGGTTCTCTATGTATATTATCATATCATCTGCAAATAGTGATAGTTTGACTTCTTCTTTTCCTATTTGGATTCCTTGGATGTCTTTCTCTTGTCTTATTGCTCTGGCTAGGACTTCCAGTATTATATTGAAAAGCAGTGGTGAGAGTGGACATCCTTGTCTTGTTCCAGATCTTAATGGAATTGCTTTCAGCTTTTCACCATTGAGAATGATACTGGCTGTTGGCTTGTCATAGATGGCCTTTATGATGTTGAGGTATGTCCTTGTATCCCAAGAATTTCAAGGGCTTTTATCATGAATGGGTGTTGCACTTTGTCGAAAGCTTTCTCAGCATCTATTGATATTATCATATGGTTTTTATATTTCTTTTTGTTGATGTGTTGGATAACGTTGATTGATTTTCGGATGTTAAACCATCCTTGTGCCCCTGGAATGAATCCAACTTGGTCGTGGTGAATTATCTTATGGATACATTGTTGGATTCTGATAGCTAAAATTTTATTGAGGATTTTTGCATCAGTGTTCATTAGGGAGATTGGCCTATAGTTTTCCTTTTTTGTGTTGTCCTTATTCGGTTTTGGTATTAGTGTAATATTGGCTTCATAGAACGTGTTTGGTATGTCCCTTCCTCTCAATTTTTGGAAGAGTTTGTGAAGGATAGGCACTAATTCGTCTCTGAATGTTTGGTAGAATTCATTTGTAAATCCATCAGGTCCTGGGCTTTTGTTTTTGGGGAGGTTTTTAATTACCATTTCAATTTCGCTGCTTGTAATTGGTCTGTTTAGGTGTTCTATTTCTTCTTTATCTAGCTTTGGGTGATTGTAGAGTTGTAGGAATTTGTCCATCTCCTCTAGATTGTTGAACTTGTTTCCATATAACTGTTCATAGTAGTTACTGATTATTCTTTTGATTTCTGCTGTGTCCGTTGTGATTTCTCCTCTTTCATTTATGATTCTGTGTATTTGTGCTTTCTCCCTTTTTTCCTTTGTGAGCCTGGCTAGGGGTTTGTCTATTTTATTTATTTTTTCAAAGAACCAGCTCTTGGTTTCATTGATCTTTTGGATTGTTTTTTTAGTTTCAATTTCATTTATTTCTGCTTTGGTTTTTATTATTTCTTTTCTTCTACTGGTTCTGGGGTTTTTTTGTTGTTCTTTTTCTAGATCTTTGAGCTTCGAGATTAGGTTGTTTCTTTGAGTTCTTTCTTGTTTTTTGATGTGAGCTTCTATTGCTATATATTTTCCTCTTATTACTGCTTTTGCTGCATCCCATACATTTAGGATATTGGTGTCCTCCTTGTCATTCAATTCAAAGAATTTTTTAATTTCTTCTTTGATCTCCTCGTTAGTCCAGTGGTCTTCCAGTAGTGTGGCTTTTAATCTCCATGAGGTAGGATAGTTCCTTGCCTTCTTTTTATGATTTATTTCTAGTTTGATGCCTTCGTGGTCAGAAAAGATGTTGGTATGATTTCAATCTTGGTGTATCTGTTGATGTTTGTTTGACTGTTGATGTTTGCCCCAGTATGTGATCGATCCTGGAGAATGATCCGTGTGCGCTTGAGAAAAATGTGTACTCCGTTTTTTTTGGGTTTAGTGTTCTATAGATGTCTGTTAAGCCCAAATGCTCTAGGTCCTTATTTAGAGCTTTAGTTTCTTTACTTATTTTTTGTCTTGTTGATCTATCCATTGTTGATAGTGGTGTGTTGAAGTCTCCCACTACATATGTGTTTTCTCTGATGTCTGTTTTCAGAGAGGACAACAGTTGTCTGATATATTTTGGTGCTCTTTCGTTTGGTGAGTATATGTTAATGAGTGTTATTTCTTCTCGAAGTATTGTCCCCTTAATCATAATGTAGTGACCATTGGGTCTCTTTTTATTTTTTTTGAGTTTGAAGTCTGTTTTATCTGATATAAGTATAGCTGTTCCTGCTTTCTTTTTTGGCCCATTTGCTTGTAGGATTGTTTTCCATCCTTTGACTTTGAGCCTATTTTTATCTTTTGTAGCTAAATGTGTTTCCTGGAGACAGCAAAAGGTTGGGTTTTGTTTCTTAATCCAGGCTGCAACTCTGTGTCTTTTTATTGAAGAGTTTAGTCCATTTACATTTAGAGTTAATATTGATATGTTAGCATCTGTATTTGCCATAATTATGTTTGTCTTTCCTTTGATTTTATTTATTTATTCTTTTAATAACTTTTTTTTTTTTTTTTGGTCTTCTTTCGTTGTTATTCGTCCCTCTGAGGTTCTGGCTTTAGGATTCCTTGTAGTATTTTTTGGAGTGGGTTTAGTCGCAATGAAATTCCGGAGTTTCTCTTTGTCTGGGAAGGTCCATATTCTTTCTTCATGGAGGAAAGAGAGCTTTGCGGGATAGAGTATTCTTGGTTGGCATCTGTTTTCTTGGAGTCTGTTGACTATGTCCCTCCACTCTCTCCTTGCCGTAGTGTTTCTTCAGAGAAGTCTGATGTCAGCCTGATTGGTTTTCCTTTGAATGTTATCTGTTTCTTCCCTCTTGTCAGCTTCATTATTTTTTCCTTGTCCTGGATTCTTGGGAGCTTTACTATTATGTGTCTTGCTGTGTTTTTCCTTCGTCGTGGAAGTTTGGTGTTCTTCTTGCTTCTTGTATATCAATTTTCAGCTCCTTCTTCTCATTTGGGAAGTTCTCTTCAATTATATCCATGAATATTTTCTCTGTTCCTACATCTCCTCTCCTTCTGGAATTCCTATAACTCTTATATTTCCTTTCCTCATGGAGTCAGATAGTTCCCGAAGTCTTTCTTCATTCTTTTTCCTTCGTACTTCTCTTTCCTTTTCTGTTTTGGTTCTTTTTATTTCTGTATCTTCAAGATTACTTATTCGTTCTTCCATTTCATCTATTCTGCTTTCATTGCTTTTCCCAGAGTTCTTTAGTTCCTCCATTAATTCTTTGATCTCCTGCATTTCTCTTACTTCCCTCTTTAGGGACTCAATTTCCTTCTTCTGATCTATCACTTTTTTAATCATGGCAATTTTAAATTCTCTTTCTGGAAGGCTCAGAAGTTCTTCCAAGTTGCTGTCGTTGCAATCTGGGGAGTGGTTTTCTTTTTGTGGTGTGCTTCTTTCCTGAGGAGTTTTTAGGTTGCGTGTGGTTCTTCTACTCCCTACTGTCTGTTTTTCTAATTTGTCGTATGCGTTGGGACACTGTGTTGCTCGGACTGACTGACTTCTTGGGTGAACTTCTCCGCTCCCCTCTGGCTCTTCCAGGAGCCATCTCTGTCTTCTGGGGGAGCTTTCTGCTGGTTTTAGGCAGTTTTTACTGAAGAAATGTCCCTGTTCTCAAATGGCGAAGCGGGATGCAGTCCCTGCGCCTCCGGTTTCAGGCACACTCTTCTGCGCCCCCGGTCTGCCCCGGACGTGGGTGCCTGCTCCCTCTGTGGGCTCAGACTGCTGGTCGGAAGGGGCCTGGCGTGGAATAACTTCCCGGCTGGCCACTGGGTCCTCCAGAAACCTTCTGCCCTTTTCAAGCAGTCTTAAGAAATGTCCTGTTTTATAGGGTGTTAGTGACTTTTTTTTTTCCTGGTCGCTAGGTGGCGCCAGAGATCTCTCCTATTGGCCTTGGGGGGCTGTTTTTCGCCTCCCCCCACCCCGTGGGACAGAGAACAGAGCGGGAATGGTAGGGTACACCTCAACAGCTTTGGGGTGCTGTGTCTGCCTTGTGCCCCACCGTCGTGGAGAAACCACGCCCCGAATTTTCGTGCCCCGGGTCTCAGTTCAAAGCCCTCAGTTCCAGGACGCGGGCTGTAGCCCAGTTCAGTGGCGCGGGAATGGCGCCTTTTGCACAGCTCCGTGCCTGGGCGCCTGGTTCCTGCTCACTCAGGAGGGACCTTCACCTCAGTGAGGACCTCCGTGCGTCTCCCCGCAAGCCTAGGTCGTCTCCCCGTCTCCCCGCAAGCCTAGGTCGCAGGCGCGGGGACCTGGGCAGCCGCGATCCAGGTCTGCACTTGCTTTTCAAGCTCCCCGAGCGCGCCGCGTTTCTGCGCCAGCTTACCGGCAGCCCGGGCTGTGTGCGAGTCTCCCGGGGTCTTTGTTCTTCTCTAATGGCGCCCGGAGCCGTTCGCTCACCGCCGCGGCGGATCCTGCAGGGTTCGCCTCAGCTCCCGTTCACGGGGTGTGGTGGCTGCAATAGTTCCTTTCCACTCACGGTCCTGCTTGCTGCGTCCTTTGTTCTTGTGGGCCGTTTTGGTTTGTTGTTTTCCTCTTCTCTGCTGGTCGGAGAGTGCCGCCTCTGTGGGCGGGGGAGGGGAGCAGGGTTCTGCGCTTCCCTCCCTTCTGGTCCTCTTTTATGGCCACTTTCTTCTTCGGGCAGTTCTCTGGCGTCACCCGTTTATCTTCCGTGTCCCACTTCTCACTGGGACCTGCCGCTTTTCCTCCCTATTAACTTTTTTTAATGGGAGATCTTACTGGCAGCGTCTCCTCGCCGCCATGTTGCTCCGCCCCCCAACGGCTTTCTGCTTTTCTGGCAAGAATGTTTGAACTTTATTATTTTCAATGTGTGTCTATATAAATATAAAAGAATACATACATCTTATTGAACTATTCTTGTTGTATAGGCATGGCTTATCTTCTATAGCACTGCTTTTTATTTTTGTTTTTTGTTTGTTTGTTTTTAAAGATTTATTTATTTATTTATACAAGCACTGGGTACAGTCAGAAGTGCGGGAGGGTGAGAGAATTCACCAGAGCCAGAGTGGGGAGCAGAGCAGGCAGAGGGACCGAAGTACACTGCTGAGGGGAGCAGCGGGCGGCAGGAGAGGTCAGCGCGCCATGTGGGACCCTCCTCCTTGGCCGGGGAGCAGCCGGGGATCGAACCGGCGCTGCAGAGGCTCCAGGCAGCTTCGTAACCCCAGTGCTCAACCGCTGTGCCTCCGGGGAGGCCCTGTGTTTTGCTTTTTGTGGACCCTCGCGGCGGCCGGGAAAGAACCAGGCTGCAGAGGCTGCGGGCAGCCTCACAGCCCAACGCTCAACTGCTGTGCCACCAGGGTAGGCCCCATAGTATTGCTTTTGATTAGATTTTTATTTTTAAATTATTGGCTATATTTTTTTAATCAGTATTTCGGTGACTCATAAAAAGTCCTTATCACTGCAAACTAGTTTTGTAACACTTCTGTACTATTACATACTGCTTATAGAAATACAAAAAATGTTGCAACTAATTTAGGAAATAGTTTGAAAGTTTTTTTTTAAATAAAATTTGGAGATTCATTTTTCATATGACTCAGAAATTCCACTCTTTGACATTTTCTCAAGAAAAGTGAAAACCTATATGCACACAAAAACCTGAATGTAGATTATTTCAGAATTTTTATTCAACCCAATGTCCCTAAACATTGTCTGTGTACATGAAAACTGGAATAACACTATCCCAGAAATGAATTTTGTTGAATGGAAATTATACTGCAATTAAAAAATGAAAGCAAAAATAACTGTTTGCAAGTATCTAACATAGTATTTTTCAAATGAATGAATCAATAAATATTTTACTACAATAGATTCAATTTAATACAATTTTATTTGACAGAGTAGTATTTATCAGACAACCTTGCCATTGGTTCATCTCCAGCAAAAATAAAGTATCTCAAAAGTCATCATAAAAATTTAAGCTTTCACACTCATCTCCAGGAAAAATATATAAAGTATCTCAAAAGCCTTCATAAAAATTTAAGATTTTATAACTTACAAGTGCTTCAAGCTTCTGAAAACATCTTTTGAAAGCTTAATTATTTAAATTTCATTTACATACATCACACTTTGTGAATTCTAAATATTTTTAATTTCTTTTGTTTCAATTTTGCTATCTACAGAGGGACTAAAAAATGAAATTCAAATTATATAAATCTAAGTATTTTTCAGTCATTTGTACTTTTAAACCAGAACAATGGTTCATTTTTCTCAATATACAGTTTTCAAAATATATAAAATCACTCTTAAAACACAGATAAAATATGCTACCATAGACACGTAATATTGTACATCATTGACATCACACTAACTTTCATGTCATAATAAAGCAAGGTTGTCAATATATATGTTTTTTAAAATTCACTTCAAATTTGTTAATATTTTTGTTATAAATCTATTTTTCACATTTACAACAAAATACCATTAAAATACTCCAAGTTTGAATATTAAATGGCACAAATTACATACTTTATGTCTAATCATAAAGAAATATTTTAAGTACTTTATTCTTTAAATATAGTAAAATTTTTATTAAAAATTATAATCGAATACTATACTACCTTCCCCCTGCCTTTTGTGGCTAAAATTAAACTTTATTCAGCTGCTATTGTGTAAATGGGAGTGTTGAATTATATTTAAATAAACAAACTCTAGAACCTTATTCTTTTGGTTTAAATTTACTTTCATAACTAGTGTTGATGCTTATTGCTTAGGATGTGCCCTCTTGTACCTTGTTGGTCCTAAGGAATCAGGATTAAAAAAAATTATAAAATGATGTATTTTAACCACAACCATTGAATGGAATCTCACACACACTTTTATATAGGACACTCTTCAAGATAATACTAACTAGAGGGGAAAAATAGCTAAGAAACACCAGGTATAATATGCTTCAGTTTATATAAACCAACAAAGAAAAAGAAATGTGTAAATATGCATATCTGCTTATATGTAGCTCATTAATACTACATAGGAAAAACAAAGGTAATAACTCTGAGAATGAGAATCAAAGGATAAAAATAAAAGTTAATTTTCAATGCATCACACTTAATTCTATTTGTATTTTTAAAAATTGTATTTGGCATCTAAATGAGTGACTTGTCATTATACGTTAGAATCGCCTGAAGAGTCTTAAAGTTGTTGGCCCCATCCTTCCAAGATGTAGATTATGAGTGCTAGAACTTGTAAAAGGGGACTCAGATAATTCTCAATTGTAGTTAGTACTTATAACTACTGAGTCAAATTTTATTGTAAGGGCACTTGTAGACAATGGAAAAAATCTCGTGTTCCTTTCACTTTTACATTTAGAACTACAGTATAAATTAAAATCATTTAAATTGAAGCATATATCCTTAAATGTAATACGTGACTTGAAACTTATGAGCTTGCATAATCTTTTTTTCTACCATGAATAAAGCATATTATTTTTAGAATTGTATGTGTCTGAGATAATCTGATTATATGTTAACATGATTATTCGCCATTAGAAAAGTATTTCACTATTAGTTATAAACCAGAATTTAAGATTCTAGCTAATTATTATTTTAAAAATCCCTTCATTGCCAGGATTGTATAGGATGAATAAGGCAAATTAATATTTAGGATTATTTCTTTTTTCTTTGTAGCTGGAATAAGCTCTGATTATAGCCTTGAGGAGATAGATGAAAAGGAAGAACTGAGTGAAGGGTCTAAAGATGAGGCTCAAAATATTTCTCTGAAGTCACAAGATATTCCTTTTGGATCTACTAATATAATAAATACACTGAAAAATGCTCCTGACTCAGCCCTTGGCAATGTTACTGAAGAGTCCTCAAAGAACTCCAAAGAAGAAAAACAAGAAATAAGAAACACAGATGGACAGTAAGTAGTCTGTGTGCCAGAAGTATTGTTGGTGGTTTGTTTAATTAATACTAGTCTTCTGTAATATAGACCTGATATTTTAAACACAAATATATTTGCCTGTTTAGTTTAGACTATCCCTTTTACCATCATTAAAAAATTTTTATTAATAAAATAACTGTTTGCATGTACTTGTTTTAAAATAAAATAGAACTTGATAGTTCTGGTATACTTGTGTTTCAGATATTAAAGTTTCCATATCTTTGTATTGTATGTGTTTCACCTATTACTATTGACCTAAATAAAATATTTAATTTTCAATTTTTACCAGATGCTGTTTCAGTTTGCTTTTATTTGGAAGAGAGCTGATAATAACAAAAAGACACTGTTTTTTGGAGCAGTGTCCATTTTACCAGGTTTCTTACATATTTCTTTGTAATAGGATTGCCATATGAAGGCTGATGTTTCATATTAGCATTTCCTCTCAGTTTTATTTTTTCTTTGAATTAAACTTCCAGTATTTGGCAGAAAAATGTGATTATTTGAGTCCATCTGTCTGGAAATTATTGCCTATTTTCTCATACGTGTGTATGTGTTTGAATAGTGTCAATATATTACACACAATATCTTATTTTGCAGAGGACCACACATTATGGTACAAAATACAAGCATTGAAAAGAACATAGTTGACAGTGTAAAAAACCTGAAGTCACTGGACCCTAACCAAGAAAATGGTAAGTTAATAGCAGCACCAGTAGCCAACAGTTTCATAGAGCTTACCATGTGCCACTGACCATTCTTTTTTTTAAGATTTATTTATTTATTTATTTATACAAGCACTGGGTACAGTCAGAAACGCGGGAGGGTGAGAGAATTCACCAGAGCCAGAGCGGAGAACAGAACAGGCAGAGTGACGAAGTACACTACTGAGGGGAGCAGCGGGTGGCAGGAGAGGTCTCCGTACCATGTGGGACCCTCCTCCGTGGCCGGGGAGCAGCCGGGGATCGAACCGGCGCTGCAGAGGATGCGGGCAGCTTCGCAACCCAGCGCGCAACCGCTGCGCCACCGGGGAGGCCCCCACTGACCATTCTTAATATATATAATGCATGTGTATGTTTACATAATACACATTAGTTCTTTTAGTCTTATATATAAACTCATTTGTGTATATTAATATTTTTAGTTCCATTTTAAATTTAGGTATAAAAATATTAAGTAACTCAGCTGAGGTTCCACAAATTAGTAAGCAGTGGGCCTCAAGTTTGAACTCAGGCTATGTTATTCCAAAGTGTGCTCTAATTACAAAGTATACTACTTTCACTGTTAAATGTTAGCTGTTACCTAACTTATGTGTACTCTGTGCATCTACTTGTGATATATATTTTTTCCTTCCTAGTCCAAACCTGTTTTATTTCATACTCAGATTACTATACCTTGGATGAAACTTGTCTGCCTGATTTTTAAGGTCCAAACCATCTAATTATGAAAACTTACTTAACAATTTCCCATTACCCAGCCCCAAATCCAGTTTCTTTTTCTTTCTCATGATATATTTTACTCAATTCTAGCATTAGGGCTTTACTCTTTGGGTCTTTGCATGGAAAATAATTTTCTACCATTCAACTTCTATACAGTGTGTATGTGTGTATTGTATGTGTCTGTGTGTTGTCATAACTTGATAAAACATTGAATATCCCACTGTCATTCAGAGATTCATAGATAGATAGATAGATAGATAGATAGATAGATAGATAGATAGATAGACTGTTTTATATACATGGCATATATTGGTTAATTTGAGTGTGTATGCTCTGATCCATTTTCCCCATGGTCAATAACATCCTGCAATACAATATAAAGAATGTCTAAAAGTGTATCTTACCCCATTCTTTTCCTGTTGATTCAGTTTGCACAACATATTCTGAAGATAATAGCAATCTTATTGAGAAATCACAATTTAAAAATCTGTTCCTTTTTAAAATTGTAGCCAAATTAAACCATTTTGGCCATGATTTTAACATCAAGTTGGTACTCGGGTCACCAGCAGATTTCTGTGATACTATTTTGATGTGCAAGTGCACTATAACAGCTTTTGTCAACTCTAGATCATTTTTTTAAAAAACAAGAAATAATTTCTTTTATCCTTAACATAGTTTTATTTTGTTTTCCACTTTCTTTTTTTACCTATCCTTTATACTTACCTAAGGCATCCTTTTGTCTGGTTGTCTGAGTAGGGAAAGGAAAGGTTAGTTCAGAATCTACCTTCTCCCTCTACTGGCCATTCTTGGAAAATAATCTAACCATTCACTGAAACTTGGTGGCATCATTGATAGGTATGTATGAGGATGGATTAGCTAATTAATTCAGTATTGACTTTAGGTTTCCAGGTCTGAGAATCCTTGTGAATAATCATGAAAGGTTGATGAGAAATTCAGTTATATAATGGTAACATAGGTGTAACCCACTTTGAAAATGTGAACAATAGAAACATGGAAGTTCTGACAAAGGAAGTTTGTTGCATAGTGGTCCTTGCTATTTATTGTTCTCGGCAGTGGTCACACAGTTGTATTATTTGTAAAGTGTTTTGGGCTATATAGTTAAAGTAAAGGCACACTCCAGAGATATTGTAGATTGATTCCAGACCAGTAAAGTGATGTTGTGGTAAAACAAGTCACATGAAATTTTTGGTTTCCTAGTATGTATGAAAGTTATGTTTACTCTATATTGTTACACTCTATTTTAAAACTCTGTGTTTAAAATAGGAACTTTGAAATATAATATAAAGAATATAAAGTAATGACTATTATGACCAAATTAGACAGGATTTAAAAAGATATTTTAAAAAACTGTATGCAAAAGTACCTGTACACAACATTTTTTTCCATGCATATCTTTCCTTTTTTTGTTCTTATTTTTTTTTCTTTCAACAGAGGGATTTGTTGAGAGCACATGGCATTTTAGGTAGTGAACTTGATCTTTCTTTTATAGGTAAATGGGGGTGTTGACAAAACCATAGAGAAATATTTGGCCTCTTTTCATGACTTGTTTCCCAAGGTCATCATTTTATTTGTGCTGTGCAAAGTACCTATCTAAAAAGAAAGGATTTTGAGGATGGGGACTAGTGTTCATTTAGGAGAAATGATTAGAAGAACACAGTGTATACATCACTTTGCTGGGCATGCAGTACACACTTAAAACCCTGTGTTTCCTTCTAGATGCTTCTGTCCAATTCTTTGCCATCAAATTGTTTGTTGGCTGGCAGTTATTGCTTTAACTTAGACACTGGGATATTATTTTCACTTTCAGGAAGTCTGATTAAAATTAAGAGGGAAAGTAGTGCAGAGGAGAGAGATGTTTTCTCTACTTGGACAATGACACAAGGAAGAATAAGGATACCTTTCTCCACAGAGAAAAATTCAAACTGACATAACTGTTTTTATGTAGTTGAAAGTACTTCCATTAAGAGTAAAAACAGTCCTCTAAAAGTCTTTAGCAAGGACACCTAATTAAAAGACAATCAACTTATATCATGTTTTCACTTCACATCTGAAAGGTAATATTTTTCTGTGGTCTGACTTAGTTGAAACTGATAACATTTGCTGGGATAGCATTTGCTGATAACCTTTTTAAGTTTAGGTTTGAAATATAAATACATTTTTCTGCTCCTCTGTCCTTGGACACTTAAGCTGTTTTCATAACTTATAATGAGCATATTTATCTTCTATGAAGTATTTAGTTTGGACAATACCCTATTCTAATAAGCATATTATCCAAGTGGCATATAAAGTTCTAATACATATTTTCACCTTTCACAGCTGAGCAAACTGATGCTCAAAGATATTAAGTAACATATGATGGTCACACAGATTGTAATTAATCAAGCTGGGTTCCAGAGTCAGGTCTCTATGAAAACAAAGCCCATCCTTGTTTCTCTGTGTAACACTATGTGCTTTTGTATCATTACTAAGCTAAAAATTAACTGTAGGATTCAAATCAACTTATTTTAGTTTGGGAGAAGAGACATGGAGAACTTTAGTTTTTCTACCTTTTTCATATACTTCATAAATTTTCTTTTCTCAGCAGGTCAAAGTGAAATAATTGTGACTACAACAAACACAAAAGATAATGTGAAAAATGGAGTGAGAACAACAGAAATCAATGTAGGAGGTGTTACCAAAAATAATGTGGATGTGGAAGTTGACAGACTATCAAACTATCAGGCACACAAAGCTGATACTGCTAGAAGTTACAAGGAAAATCATCTATCTTCTTTATCAGTACCAGATCAAAAACCTAACCAGTCTAGTGCAGATAAGACAAAAAAGCAAGATGCAGCAATTCAGACAACTTCCTCCTGTAACAGTTTTGATGATAATCAACATCGTAATTTGTCTGATTTCAAAGTTGATGAAAGTGTGCAAGCTTCAAGTAACAACAAATCAACTCAACACTCATTTTTAAGTCCACAAGATTATGTAGATACAACAAGAAAATTCAGGAGTCAGATTCCCCCAATTTTACATTCAGAAGATCAGCTTACCATAAAAGATCCAATTTGTGCACAAGGTAATGATGATCTCTTGTCTCCTGTAGATGGAACTGATAAAAATTCAAATACCTCATGTATAAAGAATTATCCAATTTACCGACAAGACTACAATCCCAAGCCAAAACCTTCAAATGAAATTTCAAGAGAGTATATACCCAAAATTGGGATGACGACATATAAAATAGTGCCTCCCAAATCTCTGGAAATATCGAACGATTGGGAATCAGAAACCATGGTGTATAAGGGGAGTCAGGAGATACAAACTCTAGGTGAAAAAAACACTCATGAGAATGTGAAAGAAACTGCAATTCAAACAGATGATCCTGTTGTTTCTGAAAGCCCAAAGGAGCCTTTGGCAGACATGAAACAGAAGCCTACTCAGAGAATAGAACATCGGGTGCACAGTATGGACAACTCATTCCACAATACAATAGCGAATCCTCTGAAACCTACTCCCAGGATAATGAGAGACACTGTCTCAGCTCCTTTTGCACCAAATTTGGAAGATATAAACAATATTTTGGAATCAAAAATTAAATCTCGGGTTTCAAATCCCCAGTCCAAACCAAGTTCTTTTTTCTTGCAGATGCAGAAAAGAGCATCAGGTCACTATGTAACATCTGCAGCTGCCAAAAGTGTTCACACCCTCCCTAATCCTACTCCAAAGGAACTAGCAAATAAGGAGGTGGAAAGAGACACTCTGCCTTTTCCAGAGCAAACTCTTCCGCCCTTCAATAAAACAATTCCCTTTCCACAGCAGCACATTAAAAGCACTGATGATAACATCAGCAGACGGAAGCCTACTGGAACCTCCCCACCTCCTGTGGCTCCAAAACCTGTTCCTCTTCCTTCCAGTCAGTTACCAGTACTAAATCTGAAGACTTTGAAGACTTTTGGTGCCCCACGACCTTACTCAAGCTCTGGTCCTTCGCCATTCGCCCTTGCTGTCGTGAAACGGTCACAGTCTTTCAGTAAAGCTCTTACAGAGTCCTGCAGCGACAGTGCATCTGCCCAGCCTCCAACTAACACAGAGGGAGGGAAGACGCCTTCTGTGACTAAACATGTGGACACCCCACAACTTGGTGGGAGTGATAAGGTAAATATTACCACTTGAAAATAAGGAATTCTGTGTGCCACATGGTTAAAATGGCATTAACAAGCATGTAGTGTGTGTGTTACTTAAATTTGAATATGTATTAATCTTATATGAAATTGCTATAGGTATAATGGAGTGGTAATATATAGGGTCTGATTATTTACTTTCAGAATAATTCATAATTTGATTAAAATTACTCTGGCATTCTTATATGGCTTTATCTTTAGCAAATATTTTAAAATTTCTTTGCTCATGTATTTGTCTGTTAGCTTATAGTTCAGTTTCTATCTTCCTGTGTTATGCTTATCTCAGGATGTTCTTGATTTTCTCTTAAGCTCTAGTTCTATATAATGGCAAAATAGCATTAATTATATAAGGATATAAACAGTATCAAAGACTAGATTAATTAACCACCTATCTCTCAGCTATAATCTTCTATCACACATATACAACCTCAGTTTAGTTAATATTTTGGTAAATATAAATAATTTAAATTGAAAACCTTTTCTTTCTTCATTTCCCACTTTGTTAATTCAATGTCAACTTTTCCAACTAAGTATATGACCAAAATGTCACTTAACCAGTCTAAACATAACAATTTACAAAAGGAGATTTATTGCCTTAGTTTTTGTTAACCGAATGTTATCATTTGCTAGGTTCTAATAGGATGTTCAAAGGAGAAGATGAAATTCACAGTATGAATCATGATAATCTACATGCAACTTCTAAAAATGCTTTGTGTACTTTTGCTCAGATAGTGTTTAAAGAATACTTTCATATTTGTGTGACAATTTCCACAAGTATTTTATACTACTTTTTCAAACATTCCTAAAGAAACAGAACATTAAACGTATTGCCAAGTAAAGATTTTTCCATAATTTTAGAGCAATATTTATTTATTTTGAAGAATATTTCTCCATATATTTCACATTTATGTTTATTACTTTGTTATAATGTCAGGAAGAGATGTGTGGTATAGAGGCTAATTCCTTACTTGAGAGTGAAACCTGTGTTTTTTCTTAGAATGGAATACCACTCCTAAACAATGGAAACTTCATTTAAATACTACACTTCTTGAGCCATTGCCTGAGCTCTGTTTAAGTTCATCTTTTGTCAAGATATTTATTTGGCAGTTTGAAAAAGATTTTTTTTTTTGAAAAAGATATTTTTAAGATTATTTGGTAACAGCTGCCAGTTAAACCAATTATTAAATACTTCTTCCTAAGAAATTTAAATTTTTTACTCTTAAATTTGAAAATTCCTAATTTTCAGTCTATGGGAAAAATAAACATAGCTATGACTCACAGAAATGCAAAATAAACTTAGATGTAGCATAGAATTATTATTTGTTAATTTTGTACCCCCAATGATAATAATTTCACAACCTAATGTGGTGGATTTATGACAGGAGCTTCCTTTTCTTGGTAACAATTTGGCTCTTGTAGTCAACGTCAACTTTATTAAAGAAATTGCCATTATCTGACTCAAAGCATATTTGATTCAAAGTGGCCACTATTTCATAACACAAAAGGAGTCACTTCTTTTTTTTCCTTAGCCTCCTGAGTTTAAGGGAAAATAATGCATTCATTTTCCGAGTGAGCTCTGGAACAGAGAGAATTCACTGCAAGAGGAAATAGTGCTCTATCTGAAACACTAGAGTGTCAAATGGAGATTCTTAAAGAACTACTGGTGATTAAAAAAAAAGTCTTTGAAAAAGGATCCATTTTTCACTTGGTATTCATATAAATATTTTGCATTTATTTTTATAGGAAAATAACTCTGCACATAGTGAACTGAATTCCCAAATACCATTTTCAACTGACTGCCCATCATTCACCCTTAAGAGACAAAGTTCCTTAACATTCCAAAGCTCTGACCCAGAACAGATCTGGCAGAGTTTGCTGACTTCAATCCGTTCTGGAGAGGCTGCTGCCAATTTGAAAAGGGTACGTTTTCTTTATGAGATGGGTGACAGTGGATTTATTTTCAATATTGTCAAATAATATGTAGGGGAAATTGTTTTCTGACATTTAAATCTGAAAAAGAAGATGCCAAAATGTTACTCTTTTATGTCAGGGGTCATTTTTGAAGTAGAGATTGAGAGAGTCCAGAGTTTTACATCTACTTAAAAATATGTCAGGTCTGTTTTCCACAACACGGGCCAGGTGCAGAACAAGGGTTTTACTCATTATTATATAACTATATATAGCAAGTGCCCTGGACTCTTATTAAAAAAAAAAAAAAATGTTTGCGCAGCAAGAAAGATTCTTTGGGAATGAAAATCCCTCTCCATTACAGTAAAGCTGCTCTCGTGACAGGAACCTGCATGTTTTCAGTCAAAGCTCTTACAGCGATCAGTTCCCACCATATGTGAGGCTTGGGGGAAAGGTTTGTAGTTTTTAAAAATTGTAGGGAAAATTTACAGAATTTAGGTGACATCTAATGTGGAATTCAAATCTTATTAATACCCTACCAGAGATGTCCGGCCCCTCCTTACTGAGGTGTAGGAGAGCTTCAGCAGAGGAGGCATGCTCCTTTTCAGGACAGACACCAAACAAATGTCACAGGGAATTATTTGCCAGGAGTTTCCTCCTTCTGCTGCTTTCATTCACTGAAAGAGGAGGTGGTGAAGGCTTGAACATTAGCACTTAGACTTCCCAGAGGCTGTGGTCTCCTGACCATCTCTCCTATTCTCCCCTTTGTCATCCTGCTTGAAAGTTCCTCAACACCCAAGACAGAAAAAAAGCAGTCATTATTTCACTGACTCCTTTGATGTTTAGTATTATGAATCCCTTCTCTGATCATTTTAGAAGCTAGTAAGAAAAGAGTAAGAGACTTATTTAAGCAAAACACTGAACTCACCAGAAATGAATCTGGGAAAAACAGGAATGCTACAGGTAGAAAAGGAAGAAGGTATGAGGAACATCTACCTTGGCCAACTGGCTTGCACCAGCCAGTTCTTTAAGTTCTGGTGGAGCCATGAGTGACAGCCTCTCCCAGAGGACTCGCCACTCCAATTAGGCCAACAGGGGGACCAGGCAAAATGTTGCACCCTGGTAGGAGCACAGGAATTGTGAAGGAATAATTGAGGATGTGTTAGCTTTCAGTGTTGGGAAGTATCTTTAGAGAATCTAATCTAGATTTTGTAGATTATTTATAGAATATGAATTTAGGTGTCAGGCAGCATAAAAATTTGCTATTACTTTGACTATCAAAATTGGTGCTTCAGGAGTCATGACATTTAGTTTTGTGGGGAAATAAGCCCATGTTAATGAACTGTACATTGTCATTTAAGAAAATATTTCTATTTTTAATCTTGTAAATTCAGACTGAGTTTCAAGTTAATTGCTTCTGATCTAAAGCTTTCTCAGTTCAATAAATTTGACAAGCATCTTGCAAAGTACATAAATATCAAATATTGTACTAGATACTAAAGATACAGAAATGAAAAAAATGAAGCCTCTGCCTTTGAGGCACTTTTGGCCTGGGACTGACAAACAGTGGCATATAGGGCCCACAAAAAATAACTGTAATGCCTTTTTATTAATTGAGTAGGTATATTAATCAGCTTCAATGAGCTAATTACAATAAGCAGTACTTTAAGTTAGAAATGCCTTTTAGGCCAACGTAATTGTATAGGCAAGTAGCTGTATGCTTGGTGTGTTGCAGGCTCTGATTTGGCAGTCTTTTCATATTAAAAGCTCTCGTTGCTTCCAGAATGAACTGGATGTGAATCAACACAGAAAGCAGACCCTAAATGATGATCCTATAATTATATCCTGTTTATAACTCATTACTTTAGGTTCTATTGAGCCTCAAATTTATCTTTTTTTTTTTTTTATTATTTTTTTTTTTTTTTTTAGATGTATTTATTTATTTATACAAGAACTGGGTACAGTCAGAAGCGCGGGAGGGTGAGGGAGCTCACCAGAGCCAGAGCGGGGAGCAGAACAGGCAGACTGAGGTACACTGCTGAGGGGAGCAGCGGGCGGCAGGGGAGGTCTGCACGCCATGTGGGACCCTCCTCCAGTGGCCGGGGAGCAGCCGGGAATCGAACCAGCACTGCAGAGGCTGCGGGCAGCTTCGCAACCCAGCGCTCAGCCGCTGCGCCACCGGGGAGGCCCCTCAAATTTATCTTTTTCAGTAGGTGGTCATTGATAGCTCTGAGTCTATATAGTGCCAGCTTTGAAACTTTAATTCCTTACATAATCCATTTTATTCCACTAAAAATGGACACAAGGTCTAGTAATGCTCACAATATCCACAGTCCATGATCAGCATTTTCACTTGTACTATTGCCCTAAAAGTGTGTATTTTTTTATATCAGGACTCACATATATCCAAAAATAATATACTAAATAGTATATGTTCAAAGAATTGACTATGATATAGCAATGAATTGGACAAAATACAGCTAAATGCAACAATGTTACTAGAACCACAAAAAAATATATGGGTAAAGTTTGACAATATGCAAGACTAAATTATATTATTTATATAAGCGTAGGTGGCAATTATTTTTAAAAACAGGAAATAATTATAAATCTCATAATGGTGGCTACTTCCAGAGAGGAAAAAAGAGGTTTTTGGGGTTTTATGGGGGCAGGACAGTCACATATTGAAGAGAGAACCAAAAAAGTCATCAAGATAAATATACTCTTAGTGCAGTAGTTTCCTGAACATCCACATTTAAAATGCAAAAACCTGTGATGCCGAAAACATCAGAATTTTAAATATCAGTAGGTTGCTGGGGGCATCTTTCTTTTGACCTGGGTAGGGGGTTTGATACAGGTTTGCGTGTTTGTTTTCATTGGGTGGTTTATTTAAATTCAGTGCACTTTGCTGTACATGCATTCTGTTTTTAAAAACTGGTAAAAGTCATAAAAATTCACATGAAGGCTTTAATTCCTTGTAATCTTTGCTTAAGTTCCATGTTTCTGCCCTGTATGGAACATTTCTCCCAGTTTGTTTTAATTCCTAGCATTTCTTTTATAGAACAACAGTTACATTGCCAAATAAAATCTCCAGTGATTTTGACAGTAGGTGTAGATTGTTCATCAGAAACTTGGCTCCGTGTTTGCCTATATTTTGGCACCCAAATGTTCAATTTAACTCCAGGTACCAACCTGCCTTATGGCTCTGGTTCATACCCGAGCAATTAACCTTCATTAGAATGGTTGGTTCACATTAGAACAATTATCTGGCTGATTGCTCTAATGTGAATGCAGTCATGAACATGTCATGTTTTTTTCATGCTTCTTAAGGGTTTTTTCACATCTTTTCCCCATTCAACTCCCATGCAGTCAAAGATTTGTCTTCTTTTCATATAAAGCATTAACAAATATAGCTCAGTGTTTTATAAAATTTGACTGATGTTAATATTTATATAGGAATCAGCAAATTATTTTCAAAGAGTAAGACAGACTTAAGTATTCATTATCATTGACTGTGCTGACATAAGAATTTTTTAGTTGTTTTTGATGCTTAATGGTGTTTGAATTAGTAAAGGTTATTACACTAGTGCAAGTAGAGTCTAGGTTTGTAAAAATAAAGTCTGGAAACAAACTGGCAAATGATATATAGTACTTGAATTAAGTATTTATTCAGATGTAAAACTTAAACTTATCTTTGGCTAGAGAAAATCTAGAGGGAAGAGGAAAACTGGTTAAGTCATCCAGAATCTTGCTGACTTGTTTTATTTAATTGGTTTGATTTTTATTCCTATATACTACCTTTGAATTTGAATAATCCAAGGGTTTCAGGTTGGCAGCTCTTTCAATATATTTTTCAAGTAAAAATAAATGATTTCATGGTTAATGTTCCTTATGGAAATGAGAAAGCTATGTGAATATTCCTGGAAATTCTTTAAAATTCAAAGTTAGTCAATGAGTAGATGCTTTATCAGTCAACTTCTAAACATTACTTTTCAAAAATATCTTTATTATATGTATCATGTTTATTGTTCAAATCATCAAGCTATATTTTCTCTTTGTTTGTAAAGTTACCATTTTCTATCCAAGAAATACTCATTTACCTACACTATTCCAGCATTATATTAAACATGAATATAATGTAGCATTAAAATATACAGTCTTTGACCTCAGAAAATTTATATGTTGTTATGATGATGATGTCTTCTCATGTTAAGACTATCAGTAAACAAATTTTAAATTTTACAGTTATTCCTCAAAGTAACCCCCCCTCCCAGCCAAATTACAGGATAACCTTCCAGGCTATTTCGTAGTTTGCAACTATTTTTACTTTTTAAATAAAAATAAATCTCTATAAGCATTCACAAACATAATAAACATAATTCATAAACAATATACACATACAATATAGTCTTTAAAAGATATATATACTTTTTTTGTGAGTCTTTTTTTAAATTTTATTTATTTTTAATGGGTTTTTTTAATTTAAATTTATTTTTATATTCCCCATACAATTACAACCCCCTTATTTTGACCCCAAGTGTTCCTTTCCCCGTCCCCCCACCCCCCATGGAGTGTCTCTGGTTCATTGTTGTTTGTTGATTTTGATATTTTCTTTCTTATAGTTATTCTTTTTCCTGGTCCCTTATTTAAGTTTTCTAGATTCCTGCTATGAGTGAGACCATCCAGTATTTTTCTTTTTCTTTCTGGCTTATTTCGCTGAGCATGATCCCTTCCAGCTCCATCCATGTTGCTGCAAATTGCATGTGTTTATCAAAAAGATATATATATATATTTTTTAAGACTATATTGTATTTGACTATATTGTATATGAATGAACCATAACTTATTTGCTTCTTATGGGTGAAAATGTACCTGGATTTGAGTTTTTCACTTTATAAATGGTGCAACAATTAATATTTTACTTATATTTAGAACCATCAGTACATTTTTTAAACAGTTAAAATTTAAAAATGAATTTGAGAACTGAAATTTTGGTTACAAAAATAACTCCTACACAAAGTCATTTTTTTCATAATTTTTTTTAAAGATTTACTTATTTATGCATACAAGAGCTGGGGTACAGGCCAGAGGAGGGAGGGGTGAGAGGATTCAGCAGAGACAGAGCAGAGAACAGAACAGGCAGATCGACCGAAGTACACTGCTGAGGGGAGCAGCAGGTGAATCAGGAGAGGTCTGCTGCGCCATTGGGGTTGCTCCCTGGCTAGCCGGGGATCGAACTCATGCTGCAGAGGCTGTGTCTTAACCCCTTGTGCCACCAGAAGGCCCACACACAGTCTTTTCGAACCAGGATTATATAATCAAAAGCCATTACCTATTTGTTGTTTGTTGACTATACTTGGAAAGAAATCCCATATTAAGTAGGGTGCAGATGTGTTTTCCTTCCCTTAGTGGCAACTTTTCTTCTAGCCATTGTATGTGTTAGGTGGACAGTGTCAACCACTCTACTCCATCCTGTGTTATAAGATAGTCAAGAAAATGGATTAGTTGAAGGGCCTCCCTGGTAGCGCTGGCGGTTGAGCGAAGCTGTCCACTGCCTCTGCAGCGCCTGTTCGATCCCCGCCAGCCTCGGAGCAACCCACATGGCGTGGCAGACCTCTCCTGTCTCCCCGCTGCTCCCCTCAGCAGTGTATTTCATCAGTCTGCCTGTTCTGTTCCCCGCTCTGTCTTCTGGTGAATCCTCTCACCCTCCCGCACATCTGGCCTGTACCCCAGCTCTTTATAAATAAAATAAATCTTTAAAAAAAAAATTGATTAGTTGACCAATCTCCATCTAGTAAAAGGCAAAAAAATGAAGCAAAAAGAAACCAATTCTAAACTGAATTTCCCAATTTTATTTTCCTCTGCACTCACTCTGCCACTAGGCAGGATCTGTGTCCTTTTGTACTAAAGTTCTCATGAGATAGTGTTTGGTCATGAAGCTAAATGAATCAAATTATAATGTAGACACAAGCCCTTTTCCTATTTTATGTATGATATTTCAAGATATAACTATATACTATTCAGAAATCAAAAGATTTTGTTTTATATTCTAAATGTTGGAATTTCAAGCTATTTAGGAAATATTTTAGTGCTTCTCATTTTCTTATACTTTATAGATAGGAGTCTTTGTCATAGAATTTTAGAATGTATAAGTTTATTTACCAAAAAGTCTTTTCATTCTGAAATTATTTTGGCATTATAGTCTTATATTTAACATTTTTATCCCTTTATAAGGAAAGCACTTTAAAACTTGTATTTTCTTATAAAAAGGGCTATTAGGAGGAGAACTTCAAATTAATACATATCAATACAAAAATTATAAAATTCATTGCTTTGTGGAATTCACTTTGTTTTTTTGCATTCTCCAAGGCACTTTTGGGGAGCCAGAATTAATCTAGCTAAAAATGCTGTATGACAGCTTGGCCTGCAGTCTGTTTGTGCTCTTGTCCTTTGAGTTGATTTGGTAATTTTGTAAAGACTAAAATGTGTTAATGGATTATTTAACTTGTTTGTTGTGGAAATAACAACTCTCTCATTTTTACTTTCATGGTACAATGAGTATTCTAAACTGTTCATAATTTATTGTATAATATTAAGTTTTAGCATTTACAATGAAACTGGCTAAAATACAATAGTTGAAAATTAGACAGCTATCCCATTTTTTTTAATTTTATATTTAATTTTAATTTTTTTTGTGTAGAAGAACTGGGGTGTAGGCCAGAGGTGCAGGAAGTGAGGTGAGAGGATTCACCAGAGACAGAGTGGGGAGCAGAACAGGTGGATTTACTGAAGTGCACTGTTGAGGGGAGCAGCAGGCTTGACAAGAGAGGTCAGCAACCTGGCCAGGCATTGAACTCAGGCCACAGCTGTGATAATGCTGAGACTTAACCCCTAATCCACCAGGGAAGCCCAGCTGTCCCACTTTAAATTGATGGGTGCAAAGTGTGTTTGTTTCTTTTAGGTTTCGGTTCCATCAAATACAATATCTGTGAATGGAAGGTCAAGACTCAGTCATTCCATGACCTCTGATGCCCAGGATGGCCATTAAGTATTGCCCTGCCATGCTGTATTTCTTCACCTCCACTTCACAGAAAACATCAAATTAATGTAAGATGTTGACAAATGTATATTCAGATGTACACTAATATATTACCTATTAAAGTATAAGAATTTGTGCTATGGCTTTTAATGCCAAAAGAAGAATTATCAGAATTTATAATTTATAATATTATTTTGTGTTTTTTGCCTTAAAAGCTGAATATGCTGCTTTAAAACTTTAAGACACTGTCTTATGACTTTCATTTTTTTCAAATGAGAAATAGCTACCTTGTGTTGATTGACACATTCTTTATAATGGTGACATAAACAAAAGAATAAATTAAGATTCATAGACTTATATTTATGTGACACACAAAGGCAAATATAGATCACTTTGATATTGGCTGCCTCAGTGTTAGTTTAATTGAAAACATTCATAAGATAAAGCCTGTTTTGTGTGAAAGTATGATCTAGAAGATTTATATCAAATAAGTATATTCAGTTCAACACTTAATTTCAATGATAAATCACTTAATGTGCAAGTCTTTTATATTCTTTATATAATTACAAAATCTGTCAAATTTATGAAAAGCTCAGTATTTTAATATTTTATTAACAAGGAACACTTAGTTTTTTAATCTTTAGAATTTAAATTGTACAAGAATTTTAAATGTTTCCTGTATATAATTATGACATTGTTGTCACATAGACATTACACATTTTATGTGCCAGAAACCTTAAAAATCTTCCTGTGAAATGTTGATAGATTGTGACAATTATTTTACATTTGATATGTAGAGAGAAATAAGGGTTATTTTATGTTCATATTGGAAAACTTTAAAGACTACTTTGAGGTTCTACAAATTTTGGTTTTAATTAAGGTAAAACAATAAAGTCATTATATTGTTCAGATGCTAATGTTCTAAGTGATAATATATATTTACATTAAAGCTAAAACTAAGCAAAGCAATGTCTTATTTTGTTGGCTTATAACTGTTCTGGGATCTGGAACTGTTGATGTTCTATTCTTACTTTAAGAACTGAACTGCTCACTTATTCTGAAAATCTTGTCAAACAAGCTGATGTTAAGTTGGTTTTCACTAAAGCTACTGCGATGTCTGCCTTGTTGGAAAATTTGTTGATTTTTTTTTCCCCAATGTTTAATAAAAGCAAGTTATATATTTGAGATTCTTCTTTTTTTAATACAGTTTGTGTCAACAAGCATATTTATATACTTCCCTTGATGAAAATATCAGCCAGTTAAAAAAATAAAACAAGGAACAGTAAAATCTACCATTTATCAAGGCTCCCTTGTGTACATATAAACCCAGGCATTCCATCTCCAAAATAAGTGGTCTAAGCATGTCTATCATGTGCTTTTACACATGGTAAATGCGCACTGAGTGATAAATGAAAAGTGAAAGTGCTTCCAAAGTGAAAGTGCTTTTTTTCCCCCAAAAAATGTATTTATTTATGCATAGAAGAACTGGGGTATAGGCCAGAGGAGCATGGGGTGAGAGGTTTCATCAGCAACAGAATGGGGAGCAGAACAGGCAGATCTGCTGAAATACACTGCTGAGAGGAGTAGCAGGAGAGATAGGAGATGTCTGTTGCATCATCTGTGGGTTAGCTCCCTGGCCAGGGATCAAACTCAGGCCATGATGGTGATAGCGGTGATAGTGCTGAGACTTAACCCCTTGAATCAGACTTGGAAATACCCTCATATGTAGAGATGTTATGTCATAAATGAGTAGGGGAGGGAATGACTTTGAAAAATTGTGTTTGTATATAGATTGGCCACCTGTAAAATGGTAAGTTTGAATCCCTACCTAAAACCATAAACAAGTATATTTGAGTTGGATTAAAGACTTTTAAAAGTAATATTTTATAATTTAGATGAATATATTCAACATTTTTCAGACCCTCAGCATGGGGAAATTTTTTAAAACAAGACACAAAGCCAAAGTCATAAAAGGTAAACATGATAATTTAAATATATTAAAATTCAACACTTATTTGTACATAAAGTCCTAACAATGAAGAGAAGCCAAAAGTAAGATTTCTTAACTATACACATGGATTAATTTTTAAAATGTAGACATGCCTATAACTATGAAAAGACTACCCAATAGAAACATTTCCAAAGTGAAAGAACAAAAATAGTATTTCTTCCAAGAGGAACACAGACCAACAAACATAAAGCAAAAAAGTTCTCCTTATTTATCAAGGAAATAACAACACAAAGTACATCATCCCACCCATCAAGTTAGCAAAAATGTAAGTTTCAAAATAGCAAGCGTTGTCAAGGATGGTGAAGTAATGGGAATGGTTTTACTGTTGGTGGGAGATATACTGGCACAACTATCAATTTGTAATATCTAGTAAATTTAAAGGTTTATTACCACATTGCCTTAAAGAAACACTTATGCATGTGCATAAGGAGATCTACAAAAATATTCATGGCAACCTGTGTATAACAGCAGAGAGGCGTCCTAATGAGCATACAACATTGGTATTATATTCATATGATAGACTGTAAGGCAATCAAAATGAGCAAACTAGAGTTTTGCATGACAATATAGACACATCTCAAACAAGTGAGAAAATAAAGTGGTAGATACCAGTTATATAAAGCATAAAAAAATGCATAGTGATACTATATATTATGACTGTATATACAGAAAAAAATATATACAAGTTTAATAATGGGAGCCAGTAAATTAAAATTGGATCAGGAGAGAGATTTGCAGGAGGCATCAATTATTTTTTTTAAGCTTTTTTTTTTTTTTAAGATTTATTTATTTATACAAGCACTGGGTACAGTCAGAAGTGCGGGAGGGTATGAGAATTCACCAGAGCCAGAGCAGGGAACAGAACAGGCAAACACTGGTAAGGGGAGCAGCGGGCGTGGCAGGGGAGGTCTGCCACACCATGTGGGACCCTCTCCGGTGGCTGGGGATCAAACCAGTGCTGCAGAGGCTGCAGGCAGCCTCGCAGCCCAGTGCTCAACTGCTGCGCCACCAGGGGAGGCCCAGCATCAATTATTTTTATAGTGTTTTATTAACTGCTCTTTGAAAACAGGTATTTGTTTTACTCCAGGTTTTAGTATAGTTGCAATAATTTATCATTTTTTTTTTAAAGATCATGTAAGACTTGGAGCCTATGTACATTGATCATTTAAACACACATTCTGAAAAAGTTGCCTTATCCATACTATTTCAGGAGTAAAATGTGCTATCCCATCCTATTGGGAAAGGAAGTTGTGATGAGTAGACTTCACCAGTCATATCTTCAAGTAACAGTGAAATTAAGATACAATAGTGATCTAGAACCAATGATTTTCATATTTAATTTTTGCTATCTAAGCATTTTGCTTTTCCATTTTCCCCATCTCTTTTTTTTAAATAGTATGTATTTTTAAATTATCCGTATTCTGGGTCTCCCTGGTGGCGCAGAGGTTGAGCGACGGATTGTGAAGCTACCCGCAGCCTCTGCTGAGCCAATTCAATACCGGGCTGCTCCCCGGCCACTGGAGGAAGGTCCCATATGGCGCGCAGACCTCTCCTGCCCCCCGCTGCTCCCCTCAGCAGTGTACTTCGGTCCTTCTGCCTGCTCTGCTCCCCGCTCTGGTGAATTCTCTCACCCTCCCGCACTTCTGACTGTACCCAGTGCTTGTATAAATAAATAAATAAAAATAAATCTTTAAAAATAAATAAATAAATAATAAATTATCCATATTCTATATAAATTATAAATTTATATAAATTATTTCCAGGTTCTATAGCAAGATACTTGGAGTACTTATAGTTCTATATATAACAGTAAGTATATATACAGTTAATATTTATAAATATATTACTAGCTAATATGTATCTACAGGTTTGTTTTGGACTTTAGTGGTACTGTGGGAGGTTTTGTTGTTACTGGTGTTTTTTTTTTTTTTTTTTTTTTTAGAGGCATGTTTTTATTTATTTATTTATTTATTCATTTGTTTGTTTTGTTTATACATGCACTGGGTACAGTCAGAAGCGCGGGAGGGTGAGAGAATTCACCAGAGCCAGAGCAGGGAGCAGAGCAGGCAGAAGGACCGAAGTACACTGCTGAGGGGAGCAGCGGGCGGCAGGAGAGGTCTGCGCGCCATGTGGGACCCTCCTCCGGTGGCTGGGGAGCAGCCGGGGATCGAACCGGCGCTGCAGAGGCTGCTGGCAGCTTCGCAACCCAGCGCTCAACCGCTGCGCCACCGGGGAGGCCCTTGTTACTGGTGTTTTCAACAAAAAAGTCACACATATTTAGCAACTTGCCTTACAATAGCAATCGTCTAAAAGTGCATTCTCTTTACACACACAGATCTACCCTATAATATCTCAGTTTGCTATTCTGCTATTATTCATTTATTCCTGCTGTGATACGTAGTTCTGGCTAGAGTCAAGACTTGGGTTCAAATCACAGATCAGCCAGAGTCATGGAATCTTGGGTAAATTATTTCCTCTGTGCTTTATTTTTACCTCTGACAATTGGAACTACTATTATACTACTTTATGGGAGAAGTAGTTTGAAACAAATGAATTTCAAAAGTACTTGGTAGGCAGAGCTTTTCTTTTTTTTTTTTTTTAAGATTTATTTATTTATACAAGCACTGGGTACAGTCAGAAGCGCAGGAGGGTGAGAGAATTCACCAGAGCCAGAGCGGGGAGCAGAGCAGGCAGAAGGACCGAAGTACACTGCTGAGGGGAGCAGCGGGCAGCAGAGAAGTCTGCGGGCCATGTGGGACCCTTGCCGGTGGCCTGGGATGGAACTGGCGCTGCAGAGGGTGCCGGGAAGCTTCGCAACCCAGTACTCAACCTCTGCGCCACCAGGGAGGCCCTGAGCTTATTTTTAAAAGCTATATATTGTTATTACTACTATCAGTCAGTAGATATTATTTTGTCTATTCCCCATCCTCTGTCTATTCCCCTTCTCATTCTAAGGCCAGATCTGGTCTTAACCACCAGGCACAATAGAATCCACACTACTTCCTGATCCGAGTCCTTGAAGAGAACAGTCTTGAGACCTAAAGTTACTAGACTTGT